ATAACAAACAAACGTTTGAGTTAAGAGTGGAATATAGATAGTCCATTATGTAGTCTTGTGTTTAATAACAAACAAACGTTTGAGTTAAGAGTGGAATATAGATAGTCCATTATGTAGTCTTGTGTTTAATAACAAACAAACGTTTGAGTTAAGAGTGGAATACAGATAGTCCATTATGTAGCCTTGTGTTTAATAACAAACAAACATTTGAGTTAAGAATGGAATATAGATAATCCATTATGTAGCTTTGTGTTTAATAACAAACGTTTGAGTTAAGAGTGGAATATAGATAATCCATTATGTAGCTTTGTGTTTAATAACAAATATTTGAGTTAAGAGTGTAATATAGAGAGTCCATTATGTAGCTTTGTGTTTAATAACAAACAAACGTTTGAGTTAAGAGTGTAATATATATACTCCATTATGTAGCCTTGTGTTTAATAACAAACAAACGTTTGAGTTAAGAGTGGAATATAGATAGTCCATTATGTAGCCTTGTGTTTAATAACAAACAAACGTTTGAGTTAAGAGTGGAATATAGATAGTCCATTATGTAGCCTTGTGTTTAATAACAAACAAGCGTTTGAGTTAAGAGTGGAATACAGATACTCCATTATATAGCCTTGTGTTTAATAACAAACGTTTGAGTTAAGAGTGTAATATAGATAGTCCATTATGAAGTCTTGTGTTTAATAACAAACAAACGTTTGAGTTAAGAGTGTAATATAGATAGTCCATTATGTAGCTCTGTGTTAAATAACAAACAAAGTTTGAGTTAAGAGTGGAATATAGATAGTCCATTATGTAGCTCTGTGTTAAATAACAAACAAACGTTTGAGTTAAGAGTGGAATACAGATACTCCATTATGTAGCCTTGTGTTAAATAACAAACAAACATTTGAGTTAAGAGTGGAATACAGATACTCCATTATGTAGCCTTGTGTTAAATAACAAACAAACATTTGAGTTAAGAGTGGAATATAGATAGTCCATTATGTAGCTTTGTGTTTAATAACAAACAAACGTTTGAGTTAAGAGTGTAATATAGAGAGTCCATTATGTAGCTCTGTGTTTAATAACAAACAAAAGTTTGAGTTAAGAGTGGAATATAGATAGTCCATTATGTAGCTTTGTGTTTAATAACAAACGTTTGAGTTAAGTGGAATATAGATAGTCCATTATGTAGCTTTGTGTTTAATAACAAACAAAGTTTGAGTTAAGAGGAATATAGATAGTCCATTATGTAGCTTTGTGTTTAATAACAAACAAAGTTTGAGTTAAGAGTGGAATATAGATAATCCATTATGTAGCTTTGTGTTTAATAACAAACAAACGTTTGAGTTAAGAGTGGAATACAGATACTCCATTATATAGCCTTGTGTTTAATAACAAACGTTTGAGTCAAGAGTGTAATATAGATAGTCCATTATGTAGCTCTGTGTTTAATAACAAACAAACGTTTGAGTTAAGAGTGTAATATAGATAGTCCATTATGTAGCTCTGTGTTTAATAACAAACAAACGTTTGA